ATGGCTGCTTGATTACCTTCAAGCCTTTACCAAGCTGTAAATCTTTATGGCAGCATATAGCCTCACCTTTCTTCTGAAAACTGCTGGATGTTTTGAGCCACCAACTTTGTGGCTAGCAATCCGACATTCATCCAACCACACCAGTCAGAACTAAACCAAAACCAAACCTACTACCATCGAGTTGATTCTGGCTTATAGTAACCCTATATGAGATCTGTAAGACTATCATTCTTTATGGGAGCAGGAAACCTTGTTTTTCTCCTAGGGAACTGCCAGTAGGCTTGAACTACCTACCATGTGGTGAGCAGTCCAACATTGACCCAACGGTGCCAACAGAGCTCCTTAGACAGCAAAATGCCATTTTGTACTCCCTGAAAGTGTCCATAAGAATGCCTTTTTTACACACCTTTGAAGCACTAGTCTTTGCTCAGTTACAAAAATATTTATCAAAAGATCATTTTATTCACATTTCTTGATTACCAGTCAGGTTGCATATCTTTTCATATTTTTATTGACTTTTTGTGGTTTGTGTGCAGCTCATGGTTGAAAGCTCAGAAGAGAGAGAAAAAATCAAGAGAGGATGGATGCAAAAGCCCGAAATTGTTTGCTTCAACACAAAGAAGCCTTGGAAAGGGATATCAAGACATCCTATATCATGGATCACATGATCAGTGATGGAGTTTTAACAATATCAGAGGAAGAGAAAGTAAAGATTGAGGTACAGGTCCTTGAGGTGGTCTATGATTTCTTGAAGTGGTTTAGAATTTATTTCAGGATTTGTACTGATCTCTGCTAATTTCTCTTGCAAAAGTATTAATTTTATACTAAGCCACTTAACTGTTTTTTGTTTTATAGCCCACTCAACAGCAAAGGGCAGCTATGCTAATTAAAATGATACTTAAGAAAGATAATTATTCTTACATATCATTCTACAATGCTTTACTACATGAAGGGTATCGAGATCTGGCTGCCCTTCTCCATGGTGGTGTTCCTGTTTTGTCTTCTTCCAATGGCAAAGATTCAGTTGGTGGAATAACTTCATATGGTTTGTATCCATTATTCCTTCTATCACTACTTGATTACATCGTTGCAGTTTGGTCTTTCTGTAGATGGGATTTGCCTAAGACACTTTGATCAGTTCACTGAAAATGCATATGAAAAATTGTAGGGTGGTTTTGCAGTTTAAATATTTTAACCCTCACAAATATGTAAACCCTCACATTTTCTTTTTGCCTACTGATTGTTTACTGCTGAGTTAATAACCCATACACTGACTTTTAGAGATAAGATAATTTATAGACCCTTAAAGTTCTTCTCCATTTCTGTGTATTTGCAGGGCTATTAGGTCGATTCCAACTCATAGTGATCTTATATACAATAGAGTGTGACCCTATGTTCACTGCCCAGTCATTTGCCATCTCAGAGTTGTTATGTTTGAGTTCATTGTTGCTACCGATGTGTCAGTCCATTTTGTTGAAGATCTTCCTCTTTTTGCTGACCTGCTACTTTACTAAGCATGATGTCCTTCTCCAGGAAACATATCCAGAGATGATATATAGGAAAAAGAATCTTTAGAAATAGATTTTCTGTAAAGGAATTCCATAAATAGTATTCTTTGTATACTCTTCTTCCCAGTTTTCAATATGCAAAAAAAACCAACCAACCCCAAAGCAAAACAGACTGGAGAGTCAGGAAGGGCTCATTCGAGTAAGGGCAGGTATTGTCCAGAGTCATCTTGATGTAGTATGTATGTTTTTTGCCTCTGGGTATTCTAAGAAATCAAAAGAGTTGACGTTAATAAGTTAGCCATGTATCTTACTCCTTAAGAGATGTTGAGGCTCTCTTGATTAGTTTGGTTTTAAGAAACAATTTCCTCACAGTGTAGTAATCTAGAAGTTCAAAGTCCAAGGAGGATTTTCCCTCTGCTGGCTCTGGGGGAAGGTCCTTTTCTTCCTCCGCTTCTGTATTTCTTGAATAACCACTTTAAATGAGTTCTATTTACTCATGCTAGTTTATGTTGGATTTCAGTACGGACAGTCCTGTGTGAAGGTGGCGTACCACAGAGGCCAGTTGTTTTTGTTACGAGGAAGAAGCTGGTTAATGCAATTCAGCAAAAGCTCTCCCTGCTGAATGGTGAACCAGGATGGGTCACCGTATATGGAATGGCAGGCTGTGGAAAGTCTGTATTAGCTGCAGAAGCTGTTCGAGATCATTTCCTCTTGGAAGGTAAGTTTTGGTTACTTATGCATTGTTGACACCATGTAAGGATTGTGTTGTATTCGTTTCTAATGCCACTGTAACAAATTGCCACAAGTAATGGCTTAAAACTGCCCTGATTTATTACCTTACAGGTCTGGAGCCAGATTTGAAAATAGGACTTAGTGTGCTAACATGAAGGTGTTAGCTAGCACCTCTGAGTCTCTTCTGGAGGCTCCGGTACGATATGAGGTGCAATCCTTTTTCTTCCTTTTTTCAGTTTGTAGAGACTGCCTGCATTCTTGGACTCATCATTCTGCCTACCATCAGCCAGAACCCAAACCAGTTGCCATGGAATTGATTTTGACTCATGGCAGCACCACATGTATCAAGACAGAACTGGTCTGTAGAGTTTTCACTAGCTGGTGTTTGGAAGTAGATACCAGGCTTTTCTCTCAAGGTGCCTCTATGGTTGTTAGTTGTCGTTGAGCCAGCTACGACTTATAGTGTCCCCGTGTACAACAGAATGAAACACTGCCCAGTCCTGTGTCATCCTCACAATTGTTCCTAGGTTTGAGCCCATTGTCGTAGCCTCTGTGTCCGTCCATCTTGTTGAAGGTCTTGGTCTTTTTCCCTTCCCCTCTATTTAGCCAAACATGATGTCCTTCTCCAGGGATTGGTCTTTCCTGGCACCATGTTCAAAGACAACATGTGATGAAGCCTTGCCATCCTTGTCTCTAGAGAATATTCTGGTTGTTCTTCTCCCAAGACAGATTTGTTTGTTCTTTTGGCAGTCCTTGGTTCTGTCAATCATCTGGGCCAGCACCATAATTCAGATGAATCGATTCAGCTGTCTCTATTACTTTACATCCAGCTTTCACATGCATATGAGGCTATTGAAAATACCTTGGCTTGGGTCAGGCACCCCTTAGTCTTTAACCTCCTTGCTTTTCAACACTTTAAAAGAGGTGTCGTGCAGCAAATTTAACCAGTGCAATTCATCGTTTGATCTCTTGACTGCTGTTTCCATTAGTATTGATTGTGGCTCCAAGCAAGATGAAGTCCTTGACAACTTTGTCTTTTCTTTGTTGATCGTGATGCTACATGCTGGTCTAGTTGTGAGGATTTAGTTTTCCTACATTGAGTTTAAATTCATGCTGATAAGGCTACATTACATTCCTTTGTTTTTGTCAGTAAATGCTTCAAGTCCTTTTCATTTTCAGCAAGTAAGATTTTGTCATCTGCATGTTTCCAGGTGTTGATAAACTTCCTCCAATTTAATAATGCATTCTTCTTCATAGAATCAAATTTCTTGTTGCCTTTATTAGACTCAAACTGCTGACCTTTAGTTAGCAATCAAGCACTTAACTGTTTGCATCCCTCAGGAACTCCTTTTGTTTATCATAGCCAGGATTCAACTTGAAATTTATTTTCTGCCCAGGCTTTTAGAGAGGCTTGACTAGCCAAGTCAATAAATTCACTATTGTGGATCAGATGGTATAGCATCTCTGGAATAAAGCTGATTCCCTTGCATCTTAACAGTTGAGGTATTGTAGTGTTGAAAAAGGATCTTGAAAAATGGTACCCCTGCATTTTGGCAGGATTGGACTTAAATCTCCTTGTCAGTTGAATATCTATTTTGGAATTGTTATAAGAAAGGAGATTCCTGGAGTCTAAGTCACATTAAGGACTTTATCAGTGGGTAACGGTCCCATGTATTTGGCATGCTCTATTGGTTTAAGCTGTTAGTTCCATTTCTATAATTATTTCAGTTGCTTGTCTTTAAAAAAATAAGGTAAAATAAGAACTTTACTAATCTACCTTGTGTGTAAACCCCAGGATACTAGTGATTTCTGCAAACGCCTAGTGAACACCGACTTTGAGCATGACACCATTTGAGGCATTAGGAATATAAAAGATAGGCAGTCTGCATCTAAGAAAATGACTCAGTCTAGTAGGAAGACAAATGTGAACAAATTATGACATATGGTCCATAGTATAAATTTAGAACAAAGGAAGGAAGCATGAACTCTTTGGCAGAGGGGATGGGTAAGACAGACTTCCTGAATGAGATGACATTTTGGAGAAAGAATAAGAGTTTAATGTTTAGGTCAGAGGAATGGGAGAGTAGGGAAAGTAGGAAGGTCCAGGCTGTTAATGGAATGAGGAAGGGCGCATCAGGCAGTAAAAGGTTAGGACATGTTCTTTTGGCCTTAATGAGACTGATGTTCATTAGGACTACTTGCATAGCTCCAGGTATTTTCTGTTTCCTCCATTTGTTAGTGAATTCTTTCTTTATTACACCTCTAGGAGAATATCGTGACAATTCCTTTACTTCTAGTTAATAACTTTTTTCGTATACAAGACATAATTAGCAGATAAGTTAGTTTATGATTAGATGACAAATGAATGGAATGAGCAGTGAGCCATAGAGGTTTAGAAATTCAGAGATGAGGGCACATTTGTGGTACACACCTGGGCTTACTTTATACTTTTCAGCTTTTGTAGGTATTATTATATTTTTGTCAGAAGTATGTCCCAATTCCTAACCCCTTGTATGTTCTCTTTCATTACAGATAAGTCTTTTAAGACTTCCATGGAAGTGTCATGACTACATTTTTGTCTTTTCTTTCTTTGTTTCTTTAAGCTGCAATGTTTGTTACGCAGGGCATTTCAAGATAAAATCGATTACATGTTTTCATTGTAAGGAAATGAGTGCTGTGTTTCTTTCAACATTATGATAGATTTTCTTAAAAATACGTTTTATTTGTCACATACTAATGCAAAGGCTGCCCTCCTAACTCAATTTAAATCACTATAGATTATTGAACATATTTTCAGTTTTGAGGGTTAAACATGACCAGTGACTGCTGAATAATCTCTGAAGTTAGAACAATGCCAGAGATTAATAGTTGATCATACACTTTGTGAGTTGGACGGCAGCACTGTGTGAGACTGGGTGATGTGCCTGAAATGAGGCAGTGATGAGTACAAAGAGAGGAAGTCAGAGAAGTCCAAATGGTTTAGATGAGTCTTTTGGATACTTATCAAAATGACTCTTGAAATCCTTTCTTCCTCAGAACTAAGTTTCACTAAGACTATAAAGGACATAGGTCTGAGAGGTTATAGTGTCTGCTAAACAGGCTCTCACAGATCCAGTTGTCTGTTGACTGTCTGGAATGCAGGAATTAATAAGTAGAAAGTGTCGATTATATCTAAATCTACAGAAACAACCTAATTACTACTTCTTAAAGTTAGGCTATTGCTCTTCTAGCTGAGCATAAGTGATGTCATCTTGTTTTTAGGCTCTACAGCTACACAATATAGAATTAATATCTAGGAGTAATACTGTATGTTGTGTTTAAATTGTGATCTTAGGGCAGATTTTAGCCACTTTGTACATTCCCAACTGCACCTCACTGCTTTATTGTTGATTTCAACGATTGGTAACCCTATCTCAGGTTTTCTGTAAATCCTTATAGGGATAACCTCAGTTTTCTCCCAAGGAGTGGCTAATGGGTTTGAACCTCTGACCGTGCAGTTGGCAGTCCAGCACCTAGTCCACAGCCACCAGAACTCCTTTTCCAGTATACAGTGAGCTTAGTTAATATTTCTGGTATACTTTTATGGGATCATAAATACAGACTTAAGTTAATCATGTTCTTTAGTTCATGGCCTATTATCATAGTCTGTCCAAGGCTTAGTTACTTGCTTTATTTCCTGTTAAAGACGCCCATTCTCATTTCCCCTTTCTTATAGGTTACCCATAGGTAACCCTGTTAAACTACTTATTTTGTATTCTTTCATTTGTGCTTCATAAAATATATGTTTGTATGCAGGTATCTTCAGTTTCCATAAATGGCAGGGTGTTCCTTATTTTATCTTAATTCCCTTGACATTGTTTTTAGAATTCATCTGACTGCTACCATCCGCAAGGTGCATCCAACACAGTTTTGCAATCAGTTTCCTCAGTGAATGGGACAGGTATAATGTTAGAGCTTTCTGCTGCCCAGTAAAGGTGGCTGAACAGTTAAGTGAATGAGGATTTCTTGACTATATGTAGTTAGGAGCAGATTCACAAGATGAGATGAAGTACAAAAACTAAAATTAGATCCCCCTCCCCATTTCATGATTGCATCAGTCGGAGATTCTCTACTACTGGATCAAAGTGCTTCTGTACCCTCATTGTCCTGTGAACCTTGTTGTCATTTAGTTTTTAAATTTTTGCCAGAGAAGTAGGTGTAACGTATTATCTTTGAATTTGGTAGATCTAGAATTTGTACATTTCTTTCTAGATTTATTAGCCTTTTAGATTTTGTTTTTAATAGATTTTCTGTATATTCTTTGTTAATTGTATCATTGGCAGCTCATCTTTTCCTTACTGCTCTTTGGACATTTCATATATATTTTAAATATTAAACTTTGCTGCTTTTATATCTAAATATATTTTCATCATTTGTTAAGTATTAACTTTGTCCTAGATGTCCTTAATAGAAGAAAAATTCTTAATTCTGGCACACTAGTCAGTCTTTTTGGCTTTCTAATGTTTTACTTGCTAAGTTTTGTATACATAGTTCTGTTATAGTTCCACTTTTACATTTATTTCTTTGTCTAGTCTGCCTTTATATCATAATAACTAAGCTCATTGCCCTTGAGTCATAGCTGACTCATAGTGACTCTGTAGGGCAGAGCAGAACTGCCTCTGGATTTCCAAGACTGAAACCCTTTACAGGAATAGAGAGCTTCATTTTTCTCCCTTCGAGCAGCTGGTGATTTCCAACTGCTGAACTTGCAGTTAGCAGCTCAGTGCATAGCCACTATGCCACTAGGACTGTATTAGTCTGCCTTTATATGTGGATATCAATCTCCTATTTAGTTCATCTCTTTTGTCCTATAAGGATCCCTAGTAAAACAATAGTTAAAGTTCTTGGCTTGCCAACTGAAAATTGATGATTTGAACGTACCAGCCTCTCTGTGGGCAGAAGATGTGACAATCTTTCCTAGATTTCCTTGCTATTATAAAGACTTGA